TTTTAAAAGAATTATATGATAAAAGTTGTACTGTTATTACTTTTACCAGGAACTATATATGTGAAAATACTCTATGATTATTCTTTTCATAATCTCATAATATATAATTTTTAGGATGATAGCAATAAAACTATGTACATGTACAAGTTGTGAGAATATTATATATATATTTAGTTTATAAAATAATTTCTCTTGTTTTCCAACAAAATCTTTAGAAAATAAACAAAAATTTATTTATATAATTTTTATGTGATTATTGATTAAATATATTTTATATCCAGTGAAAATATTAGATGAATGACAGACTAAAGTAAATACAAAAACAAAACACTATACGTAATAATAAAATCAATAATTACTAAAATAAATAAATAATCTCGAGACAAACATATTTTTTTTAAAGCAAACTTTGTTTAGTCTGATTACTGAAAATGAATTTATTTAATTTGAATTTTTATATATTTTGTATTAAATAACTTAGAATTAAAACTCTGTTCGGGTCGGGTCGGGTTTGACCCGAAAATCGTAAAATAATTTTTCGTTATGGTGCATAAAATCTAAAGTCATCAAACATTTGTGTTTTATAAAATGTATAAATTTCTTTACTAAGAAGTAAATACAAAATTTAATCCGTGAATACGCTCAGGAAAGGCCTATTCTATCATATTTACGGTTTAAAGTTTGTATTTACTTTTTAGTAAAGAAGTTTATACATTTTATAAAATACAAACATTTGATGACTGTAGATTTTATGCACCATAATAACTTTTATTTTTACTAAGACATTTGTATTTTGTGTCTTATGTAGAGTTGTTTGGAATGTAATTGTGTATATGTCCACAAAATTTCGTTTAATTTCAATTAATATTGAACGAGAAATAATGAGTTTTAGGCTGACCCGAAATATTTCGGGTCGGGTTTGAGATCAACCCGAACCGGGATTTTCGGGTCGGGTTCGGGTCGGTTTTCGGGTTGACCCGAACCGATTAGAGCTTTACTTAGAATTGATTATATTTATTATTATTAATATTTAGTATTAGTATTAGAAATTATATTTGTAGATATGTTGACAAAAATAAATAATAAAATCATCATTATTATAATTTTCAATTAATATAATAGTAATTATAAATATAGATCGATTTTAAGTAATAATTCCAACAGATTATATATATTATTTAGCTAAATACTAAAGCAAAATGAATTAAGAATTAAGTTAACTCAGATAATCTTATAATTATTTGAATTAACTTAATATAAATAATCAATATTTATAATACATTTAATAATTAGTTAAATTTTATAATACTATTACTATAATACAAAATACTTAAAGAAATTAATAAAATTAGTTATCTTTAAAAGATAAAGAGTTTTTATATAAAGATTATACAAAAAAAGAAGATTATTATTTTATATTAAAGAAATCTAATTACAAAATAATAACTCTTTTTAAAAAAAATAATTACTTATTTTTAATTAGAATTTATTTAAAAACTTATTATTTTCATATAAATAGAATAAATAATATAAATTATAAATTTAACTGATTAATTATAAGTTATATTTTTAATTATTATAATAAATTATTTAGTTAATAATATATATATTATGTAATTTTTTTGTAGATAATTAAAAATTAATTTTGTAATTTATTTAAATTTTGTTTGATTTTTGAAATTAAAAATAGAACAAGTTATATAATTATTTTTTACTATATCAAAACAAAAATAAATAAATATTTTTGTTTGATAATTTAATTCAACAAAATTCTAATTGGAATTTTTATTAATAATAAGAAATACCAAATACTTACTAATAATATTATTAGTATAAATCAAATTAGAAATTGATTATAATTTAAATTAATCTTATTGTTAAGAATTAATAATTTATATAACCAGTTTTTAGTTTGATTTTATATTGAATTTTCTGAGTATAAGTATTTATATTTCTTTTATTAATGAATATTTTTATTTTATTAATATAATTACTAATTTTTTGTTTGGTTTTGTATTAAATTTATATAATATTATTAAATATTTATATCTCTAATATATAATTAGAACTTGTAATTTATAATTTTATAATTAAGATAAATATTTTTATATTTGAATTAATAAAATTGGAGCAATATTAGTAAAAATATTAATATTCCAGTTAATGCATGAAATAACAAATAAATTATATAGTAATAATATTTTATTAATTTGTATTTAGAATTTTGTAAATTCAAATTTATTTGATTTGTTTATGATATAGAATATCTAAAATTATATTTTATAAAATATAAATATTTGATAATTTTATATGTTCTATATTATAATCAAAATGAATATTTTTTGTATTTGGATTACAAAAATTGGTTGAATATTGAAATAAATATAAGTATCCAAAATTAACTGATTTCTCTTGATATTTTTCTGAGATTGTTAGTATTGGTTAAGTTAGTAAGAGTTTTCTGGATATTCAATTTATTTGTGTTGGTTAGAATTAGTAGGAGTTCTCCAAATATTCAGTTTCTTTATGTTGGTTTCATTATAACCAAATTCAATAGATTTGTTAATGAGTATTTAATGTTTTTTGTTGATATTTCAGATCAAATAAAAGTCTTTGAATGGAGATAATTTTGAAAAATCGATTTTAACAATATCAATAACAATCAAATAAAATCTTTAATCGATCAGTTTATTTTTGTTATCAACCATAAAATTGCTCACCAACTTTACAATTAGTACTTTTAGTGTGGGTTTATTTAAAGAATATTACAGCCAATTGTTACTGGTGAGCCAACACTAGTATTTTTATTGACTATATATTCAATTTTGGTTACATGACTGCAATCCGGATCGGATTATATATCACATGTAACTACGTATCTGGCTTTAGTGGACCTCTAAATTAGAATATAAAATTGACCGGCTGTAAAACCTGCATTTATATTCCAACATATACATGTATTTTGATGTAATTTTTCTTGTCCTATAGATGGGAGCTGGCCGGAAACTTGGATTTTTGACATGGCAACGCACTATCCAAACTCTCATTTCTTTGATGTTAATATTGAACTAGTCTATCTTAGTCAAATAAAACTCATAAGTGTAAACTTTTATCAGTGGAATTTGGTGCAACTAGAGGAAAACTCATTTGATATGGTTCGAATGAAAATATGCATCTTTCGCTTAGCGAAAAAAATTATGCCAAAATTGTTGAGAAAATGTTAAGGTTATCATTTTTCTATATGGATAAATACTTAGATAACATGGTTATTTTTCTTTGATAGACTATTAAAGCTGGTTGCAATATTTAACATTTCAAAGTATACTTGACTTTTTCTAATTCTGGGTCAAATTATACACGAATAGTGGAAATGCGCAAGTTCAAAGTTAATCGAAGCATTTAATTATTACTTTTCATTTTGTAATTAATAATTTTATATATTATAATAAAGCTTGGCTCATCTGGTGGCTTCATCGGAGAACCAAATTTAAGCTTACAGTCGACTTTCGATATAACGACGTGCAGATCCTATTGTAAACAATATAAATTCAATAGAATCTGCACGTCGTTATATCGAAAGTCGACTGTACAGTACGTTGTACATGTGAATCATTGATTATGATCGCATGTCGATATCAATGAAAACAAATAAAGTAATGACAAAATGCTAAATAAAGAATTACTAAAGAAGAGACAATTACGAACCAAAGGCCATAAAAATCTTCATGTGCAAAATATTGCTGCGTGATTCAATGTATGTCCGTGCTGGGTGTGCATGTGCTTATTGAAAGTCTACCGCTACATTGTGCATAGCGATAGGAATATCCCAGATAACAATACGTAATGATATTTACATAAATACATGTACGTAGCTTGTGCTCATTTGTACATGTAGAGTAGATAGGATTAACTACGTATAGACCGTTGATATCGATATCAATATTATACATGTAAAAGTAATATTTATGGCTCCGAGCATTTTGATATAAACCAATACAAAAATCTTAATATATTATTTCCGTAAAAAATACTAATTTAAGAGATAAAATTATAGATCTATTTTATGTCCGAGATTATTAAAAAGCTATTTTTGATTCATAATTAATAACGAAGTTTTTATTTATAGAAGGTTTTATAGTAAGGATCTTATTCTAAAAGTATAATAAGCTCATTTTGAAGAGTGCAGAAACTGTAATAAGAGTGACATAATCTATACATGTATACTAAACTTTTTCATATGTGTTTTTAATATAAGAAACATTAACTTTACTCGATAGGAAATTTGATAAAATTTTACAATGAATCACCCGCTTCGCAGATATTCTTTAGGGCTTGAAGGGATACGAATAATCGACTACTCCGTTATCAACACATTAAAACAAATCTGTATAAAAAATTTTGCTTACATTTATAATTGCTTAGGCGCTCGGCAACTTCAAATATATCATTTTATACTAAATTTTTGTTTTTACGCCACCGCTTCTAATAACATTAATTTTGTGTACTATATATTATGTATAACCAAAAGTATCAATAATAAAGTATCAACAGAAACAGTACTTTTCTTAAAGCCAATGCGCATTTCTGAAAGATTATGTGATACACAGTTTAAAATGTGGAATTCCAAAGAAGTCTAACAAAAGCTTCCCAAAAAATGATATCATCTTTTGTTTAGTGAAGCACTCGGGGCCCGAAAATGAGTGACAAGAAATATGCAATAAATAAAGAAGCTTTTTTAACAAAAAGTCAATCATTAAAATAGATAATGCATCAAGGTATTGTCGGAGCAATAAACTTTATCGATCTTTGGTTTTGAAAGAATAACTATTTTTAAAGAGTAAATTAAACGATAAGGTCTATCATTTCTAAAGAATTGCAATAAATAACATATTTTTTATATGATGCATATATATATTTGCATTGTAAAAAATTTTTAGTTCTAACTAGCTATTGTAGGTCAACGGAAGACTTCGCTAGCAAATTTCCTGAAATAACCTGAAATGACCGAAGTAACCTTGATAACTACCGCTAAATACCTGGAGGCTTATAGATTTCGCGCACAAAGTTAGTTAGTACACCGCTGATCCAAGTGCCTCTTCCATGCATGGAGTATATTTGTATTATATTTCTAAATATGCGTAAACCATTATTGAAGTTCACTTTTATATACAAGGTAAAGATATGAAACGTAGTACCCCGGGGTACATAACAATTTTCATCCGAGTAAATTATAATATACCCGGCACTGAAGTCAGTTGTCTACAGTAGTTATTAAAAATGCAATAAATGGGGACGCGATATCTCGTGATCCAAACGTTCAAACCGAACAAAAATTACCATCATTTTATTCGTCAAGACTAGACGAATCTCTTTATACATGTACTGTATTATTCTATTTGATTGATTAACACATGTACATATATTTGCTTTTGTGATTGGCAAAAATTGAAATTTTGTGAAAGCAGAAACAAACGGAAAGAACAATAATAACAGATCTCTTCAAAAAAGCGGGATGATTAATTAATTAATAATTATGCATATAATAAAAACAATAAGTAAACCAAAGACGCATTATCAAAGGAAGAATTGATTTCGCAGCATCGTCTATGATCTAGAAGATAAAGGCAAGTCATTTTTTAGTATTGTTGAGAAAAATGCACATAATATGAACAATACACCACCATAGTAAACAGTCTTTTTACATCATAAGACATAAAATTATTCTTGCATGTGGATTATTACTTAATTACTCATGTACTATCAAGATTTAAAATTCAACGAGCAAAAGATAAAATTTTCTCGGGCTCAAGCTTTTTTTTGTCGAATAAGCAGTGTAAACACGATTGGCGTTGTCTGTTATAGGATAAAGAAATAACATAGTTAATTTGTAGTTTCCTATTATTCCTTACATTAAAATAAAAACTTATTTTATATTGTTCCGAAACCTTCTATTCCATCTTATTACATGTTATATACGTTGCTTTATTATTCCAAAAATTAATTGTTTGTTTATATTATTTATAATTTTGCTTTATGTTGGCTACGAAAACAAACTAACAAGTTATTTTCAATCAAACGCGTTAATTTTTTTCAAAATACGCGTTCATAATCTAGTTTTGTATCATAATCCTTTTTTAGAAAGTTTGAGGACTTCCTAAATTATTACGTGATTACGAAATGGAAATGGATTATCGATAAAGCTAAACTAAAGAATACCGATCGTTATATAATAGTGTCACAATATTGAGTTTATTTATGAATGAAATTTATATAACGATAATAAACTTAATAATACAGTGCAGGACACTTAAAGACGCCAACAAAATTAGTCATCTTTAAAGCAAAGGATCTTTATGCAAAAGTCATACAAAAAAAAGGGGCCGATATTTTGTAGCTAAACCTATTTACTACAAAATAGTGGCCTCCTTTTTTTTGTATGACCTTTGCATAAAGATCCTTTGCTTTAAAGATGACTAATTTTGTTGGCGTCTTTAAGTGTCCTGCACTGTAGCAACAAGAAATCTATCACGATTCTAACTGAAGTACTCGTAGAAAAATATAATTCAAAATTACCTAGCTATATCTTGCTTGGTAATATTGGTTTTATGGTTGAAAATATGACGATGATGAACTTCAGCTCTATATTCCTGAAATAGTGACCGACACAGAGGATGCTTGGATAAGAACAACTTTGCGTATTAAAAACCTCACTGAGAAGAAAGGGGAGAGGGTCATAGTATCTGTTAATAAGAGATATTCATGATTTTTACGATAGCTCAAGTTCAAATACTTCTGATTTATCCGATTCTGAGACAGAGAGTAGTTCATCTAGTTTATCCTGTTCCGATTCAGAATATGAACCTGATCCAGTAATGATTGAGAAAACCGTAAAGCCCCGAAAAATTCGCGTCCGTAATATAAAGAAAAAGGTTAATTCTCCCATCCGAAAATCCGAAACAATATTTACAACTGCTTAATAAATAAATATGAACATATATACGATCCCAAGGATGACTGTTAGAGTTATGAATAAATTTACGAGTAATATAACTGGAATATTCGATTACTCTGAATTACGAGAATATTTAGAAATAAATCATCCGAGTTCATTGGCTTAAATATAAGTGATCATTAACCCGATTTCAGAATATTTATCGACCAATCACATCACGGGTGAGATCGACGTAGAAGTTAGTGAAACATACGATAATCGTTATTTTTTTGCTCTTTTAGTCTAGGAAAAATACCTCTATTATACACATGCTTCTGCGATAAGGGCAAGCGAAAACGAAGCTCAAAAAGGCAATAAGGGCAAAGAGCCCGTTGATTCCTATCAGTTCTGTTATCAGAAAATGTCAGTTATGGAACTTTGTAATCTCCGCAATTCCGGATCATCGTTGCGATTAACCAATTTTTCGTTTTGCAGGAGCGATCTCGAACCAAAAGGGATTTCATTCATGCGTCTATGACTCAATGCTCCGTTAATAACACCAAATATATACAGGCTTCGGCTTTGTCCCTTTCTTGGCGTTTGGTTGCATATTCTATGGGTGGCTAAATCATAACTGGTTTGAAGATCTTGCTATGTTAGAGAATGGGAGATTCGGTTGATAAAGTTTAAATTATTCTGGCGAGTTCGAGATTGAGGTTGAGGGAAATATAAATAAGCAGGTTTTAGGGAGGTTTTATTTCTTAGGATACTTCATATCCCTTATAACGCCTTCCCAAGAATTTTTATCACTTTGTATTAACTTACGCTAAAGGTACGTGTTATCTTTCAAAGAAAGTGTATTAATGGCTTTGGTGTATATATAAGAGCGAAATTACTCTACAAGTACAGTCTATACTCACTATGGATTTTTGTATTTAGGAAATAGAAATGTCCATTAATCCTATCAATCTCAGGTGTGGTATTTATAACGATCCGGATGGAAAAACTTTCACGGTTTCGCCTTGTAAAGAAGATAAGGTTTACGTGGTTAAATTTGCTATCGGGGCTCTATTGGCGAATCAAGGTTACCAAGCTCTCTCCCTCAATTTCGAACTCTATATGAATGATCCAGAGAATAAAGATCCTATGAAGACGTCGGATGAAGTTTCTAAATATTTAAAAAAAAACTTTTAACCCAGATCAAATTCATATTCTTATTAAGCCAGGGAATTAGATTTTTCTATTTGTAACGGCGACATGTATTCGCAAATTTTATTATTTGTATTAGTTCGCCTTCGAGGCATTTTTTCGTAAAATAAATTGAGTGTACCACATCGGACCCAGCTATCTCCTGATCAGTTCGTGTAACTTCTGTCGCATGTATATAAAGCCACCGATCCACCCAAAAATAGAGACGATAAAAATTTCACTTTTGCTGTGCATTACCTAGCTTTTTACAACGCAGTGCATAAACCAGATTTTTCAAATTTCCACGTATAAAAACGATAACATGTCTTCACCTACCGCTTCTTTACCTTCCTCACCAATTTCCACATCCTCTACTTTGACGGAAGAAAGGTCAACTCGCACGATGGGAGACGTAATAAGGAAATATAAGACGGAAGAACTTATCGATTATTTACGGAGGCAGAAAGATTTGGACCTCGATATTGACGATTTATCAATTCTACGCAAAGAAAAAATTTCTGGTTTCGCTTTTCTCGAGACGACCAAGACAGAATTTCGCAGTTATGGTTTGAAAGGAGGTCCAGCAACGGCACTTGCAAAATTTATTGAGGATCTCAAAGAGCAGAAAATACGAAGCTTCTCGTCATATAAAACGTTGGAAGAATTAAAGACGTACTCCATAAATACAAAGTTAATGGGGAGGATATAAGCATCAAACAATTCAATCCGGGTATGTAGTATTTTTTCTTGGTAATTATTTCCCTGAACTCGGTTCAGGAAGTTCTTGGCAAAAGTGATCTGCGTTCTGAAACGGAACGGACTACAAATTTCTTGACATTTTTTCCATTGTATAGTGTTCGAGGAAATCGATGACAACGACAAAGCACTAGAACAGTGCATGAATGAAATAACACTGAGACTCTCAAATCTGGAAACGATGCAAACTAATGCTAACGAAGCTACTCGCTGTGTATTTATTACATCTATACTAAATGCATCTCTGGCTATTGTTCGAAAACTTACCAACGAAGAAAAAATCTATATATCATACCAAAAAAGTGTTTCTGGTGAGGAGGCATCTGGACATGTCGACTATGCCATCAAAGGAAATGAGGATCTTATGTGCATAGCTGAGGGAAAACCTCGTAATGTTGAAATCAGTTATCTACAGAATATAATGCAACTAGAGAGTGCGTACCATTACCAATAAGAAGAAGCGTACAGCAGATGAAGCTTTCAAGGATGATGATTAAGATTATCTCTATGGGATAGTTTCTACAGGTATATACGTAAATTTTTTGGAATAATTTTTGGTGGGGCCTGGCTGAAACTTTGAATTTTTCACTAACTATCGCTTAATATTTTTAGCCACGGAATGGCATTTTATCGTTTTTGCCACCGATGGCCTTTATTGCACCAGTAAAAGCGAATATCAAATTAACCTTTCGAAAATGGCACTCAAAGAAGATCTTGACTCTATTCGAAAAGGCGTAAAACGGGTGTTGGGTGTTATTGTTGGATTGTTAAAGGATCGGGTCAGTGTAGATAATTCCCCCACTAGTAAAAAGGTCAACCGAAAATAGTGGGTAGATAGATTTATATGTACACATACTATTTTTATTTACACCAATAGACTTTTTGCCAACGACAATATAATTGGCTGATTTAACTACGTCAGTTTTACTAATGCTAAAATTTGATATGGGAAATGATCCATCCGGGGTAACAACACGTGTATAGATCAACGGTAAGAATTACATGCATATATTTATAATCCATACAAATATTCTAATTTTGGGATTTATATCGGAGCAGAGCTTTTTTGCTAAGTAAATACACTTTCCCTAAAAGATAAGATGTCTACTAAATCGAATAAACAGTTACGTAGTTTTGATGTTGTATTACTTTCATTCGCAGTCACAAAGTGGTTAATTCATATGCTTTGGAATCTAAGAATGAGGATCGAAGGCGAGGCTATCACAAAAAGACATTAATCAGGTTAGTTAGAAGATCGATTTATTGTTTGAATTCGTCCTACATTTATGATAATTGTTGAAGTTGGTGGTACGAGTAACAAACGTCATATCTCATGAGTTATTAGACTCTGGGCTTTACCCATTATGTTTTATTGTCTTTGTCACAGATTAACGTTCTGATTATCAATGTCAATATAACAAGAGCAAAGAATTATTGATCCAATTAAAACATTTCATCGACGTAAAGTGTAAAAAGTTCTGGTAATTTCTGGTCCTTTACCGTCTAAGTCTATAAATAAATTCTGATCTGTGATTTTTTATATAAAAAGGTCGAAGAATTCTTTGCTGTATCCTTTACCCTCTTCGTGATAATAATTAACGAATTACGGGGATAAAACATTTAACAAATCATAATAAATATAATCCACGATAAATAAAAAGATTCGTACACTCAAAATAATATCTAATTTCTAACGATTAGGGTTTGTTTTTTATTTGTTTATATGCTATGACACCTCCCCACATTCGTGTATATATGCTAACAGACCAATTTCCCCTTATAAATGTCATCGCTTGCTGTTTCGGGAATCGCTCCATTTTTGGATTTCGCCGGTCTATTGATGTTCGTTGAGAAATTCTCTATTTACTGGTCATCGGTGCCACGTTTTATTTTTCACGTACCACTAAGCAAGATATCGATGCCAAGCATAATTCCGACCTACCACCGAACTTGCCAATCGTGATGCCAGATTCGTAACTGAACTCACCGATTACCGTGCCAAATTTAACGCTGAACTTACCTTACGCGACGAAAAATTTACAGCAGAGGTCCAAAGAATCTTTACAATGCTTAATACTTCTACTGCAAAATTCGGTGAAATCGAACAAGTCCTTCAAGCCTACCATAATAATTTTGGTGAAAATGCATCCAAATTCGAATCAATCGAGAGCTCTATTGCAACACTCCAAAACGATATTAATCAACACTATGCAAAACTTCGAAACAGCAACTTATCGGATCAACAAAATGATGGTAATCAACAAAATGACGGTAATCAAAATGATGATAATCAATCCGAAGCTTCTGATTCGAGCCAACGATCATTTTCGGATATAACTTCAGAAATTTGGAACCAATTTCGATAGAATTATGGCAGAAAGAAAATGTTCTTTAGATGATATGTGTGGTATTGTAGCCGTTGATATTCTTAATCTTGGGTGGGAAAACTTAGTAGAGATATAATCAAAAATTATTATCGTAGAATTAATGATTTAAAGGGTAGCAACTTAGATAAAATAGGTGCTTGGATTGATAGCAAACCAGTAAATAGAGCAGTTAATAGTGAGTAGCGGGAAGGAACTCTCATTCTATGGGTTAGGGCTCGAGATACCTCCTCCCTTAAACTCGTTACTCCAATATTCTTTATTATTTTGTAAGCTGATGAGATTTTAAAAGAAATTTTTACTGAATAAACTACTTTTTTTAATTGCTAAAAGATATACATATATTATTATTTCATAATAGCTATTACTAATTTCTAATATCTACATCCATCACTACACATATGTTGTAAGACGTCATGTATATACACTCAAGTATAAAGCCTGCGAGTGCGCTAGGTTTGAACGAGTCTTGATACCACTGTGCTTCACGTAGACACTGTAAATACACATCTCGTGTTTTCATTCCTGTATATAAAGAGAGTGGTACTACAGTGAATCTTGATAAGAGATAGCTCAAAAGTAATCTCGCTACTCTTCCGTTTCCATTTATAAAAGGGTGAATCAACAAGAAGTAGGCAAGAAAACATGCTCCATATTTAATAGCTTCCTCCAACTGCAAGTCTGTCTTCCCAAATTTCTCTCTACATTGACGGAATAACTCATCCATTCTATCATTTATCAAATCCGGTGCCATATATACGAAGTTGTCTTGTGCCGCCATAACAAATTGCGTTCTATACTGCCCAGCATCTTTAATTAAACCGTTACCAATTTGTCGGTGCAATTGTTTTGCAAACCCAGGTGTAAAACGATCTATTGGAGGATCTGGAAAGAAGATAGAAGGGACAATGTCGATGATAACATTATAAAGATTTTGCACTTTTTTAGCCAAACGTGAGGATCTATCGGGTTTGAGGCACTTCGCAAAAATTCTTCTGTAAAACATTCTAAGAAACCCAGGTTTCTTTAGCAACTTCTGTACATAGCCAATAGTGAGGTCGATGTCACTTTCCGCAGAAACACATTCGAGTAGGTAACGTTCACGGTGAAGGTCGATGTATCCTTTCCAGAAGAGCTCATTGCTTTCATTATCAACTGCTGATGAGATAGCCTGTTGGAAGTGCTTGACACTTGAGATCAAATATTCAGTATTGCGTTCATCAAAATGGAGTTTCCACCAAGGTTTGTCCAAAATGTCAAAGCTGGAATATATCACTGACATCTAATATGAAGCCAATCGTTAGTTATGGTAGCGTTTAAATCAGTTAAGGCTTCAAATTTAAGAAGGTATTGATATATACTGCAATTTTGCCTTGTTTATTGTACTTGACTTCTGAACTAAAGGCTCCTTGTCCGCTTCCTTCTCTTCCTTCTCTTTGTTCTGGACTTTCCATTCGGCAAGAAAGAACGGAGTAAAAGTAGCTGATCTTTTTGACGTATTGTTTATGTCATGTGAGTTTTGTGACCAACTGCAGATCACGTGTTAATACCCAAATATTATTCCCAACTCCTCAAGATATTCCGGAATAACTATATTCGGATCTTCGTAATACCATACCTCGATAAGAACGATCCAGTTTTCATCGCAAAGTTCTCTCTTGAGCTGATCACGTATTAATTGCTTCTCAAAATCTTCCTCATTTTTGTGGAAGTGTTTTACATATTGCTCATGTTGTTTACCTTGTACCTCTATAGCAAACCCATACTGCGGGTAGTAAATGTCGAGTTCTAGTCCCCGAGGATGTTCAGGTGTTTTTAAGAAGTCTGGTCGGCGGATGCTAGAAGGTGGGCCAAGAATATTGGTTATAATTTCGCGACATAAATTTTCATGTTTATTTAAGCAATATGGCACCACGTTTTAGAGTGCTTTATACAATTAAAACTCGTAAAACATTTATGACCCTTATTACACATCCATTGCATCAGAACACAGAGATTTATATATTCTGTAGAAAGACAGATACCTCCTTTACTGTGAGCAATTTCCTTAGCCTCCATAAGACCACAAGGAAAATTACCAGCACATTGTGAGCACCATCTTCCCATATTTTTTATTCGATAAAGAGTTGTAGACCATTCATGGCCTTTGATGCATCTCCAAAACATTGGTGTAGTTGCATTAATATATTCGGTAGAAAGGCATTTACCATCTCATTCTTGATATTTTTCGCTATATCAATATTGTATCGTGGTTGCCGTGTCTTTGGCATTTTTGCTCTGATGTAACATGATTTTGGACTGGAATACATTTTTGATCCGGTGTAATAGGTTTTCGACCAGGTGTACTACATCTTGGACACCAAGTTCCCTTAAGAATATCCCTTGCCGAAGCCTTCCATTCATGGATTTCTTTACATTGCCATTCGAGAGGATCCCATCTATTAATATACTCAGTTGCAAGACAATGACCTCCTTTTTTTCTGCAAACTTCCTCATATCCTCAATCGTTCGAGTACGACAATTTCAACTGCACACCGCGGGCACCATGTTTTTTCATTCTTTATACTAGTAAGTCTTGCGGACCATAAATGATCCTTAGCACATTTCCAAAACATTGGTATCTGACAATTGATATATCTTTCAGAAATGCATTTACCTCCTCTACTACGTGCAATCTCTTTAGCAATATCTAAAGTTAATTTTGCCATTAATATTTTATACTAAATTTCAAAAGGTCTGCGTGTTTTCCTCCCTTTAAATGTGATCTATTCAATCATTTATTATCGTATTATCGTTTAATTAGCCGGTCTCTCACTCTCAATATTCATTTTACAAAAGAAAATAAAGAATTATGCTTTGACCTTGTTAATTATGCGTATGCTGAGTAATTTTTCTTCATTATCTTTTGTTTCGCTGGCTTCGTAAAAATAATTAATACACGCTATCACCATGACGGGATAATTGCCGAAATTTCTGCGAATTCGAAATCCGAAGTATGGTCCGAATATCCTGGGCATATCGGTAAGGTTAGTATGACATGTATCCGGTTAAGTTATCACGTCACGCCTGCTATAATAAAAAACGTAGGCTTGAAAAAGAACAAAATTCGACCTTACCAGCGGATAACATTAAGACCACTCTAACAATGACGAACATTATCTTCAACCCGAACAAAGTATATATGATTTCGATTTTTTTTACTTAAGTGATAATGTGTGCTCTGCTATAATCAAGCAGTTATTTTTACATTGATAGATCAATTACCCAAGTTCCTTGTTATGAGTATACTTAGTTAGGCAATCTGACTTCGTATTTGTGTTGTAGAAATCGCATAGTCACTATAATAGTGGCTCAATACTAGGACGAAGGTTGTTGTTCAGTCTGTAAAAAAGCTTACTGACCAGTTCGCATAAAATCCAATTCGAATTGTACTATGTAAAATATTTCTTCACATAATAAAATTTTATGTATTAGCATAGGACACAGTTTGCGACTCGAGAGTTATGTACAAGTGATAAAATCTATTATATCAAAAAAGAATGGAAAAGCGTTCCTCTTCTTTCTCATATTGCATAGCATCAAAAGGAGTTAAAGTCCAGGAAAGGGTTTCTACAAGAGAACTATTAATTGAAACCTTAATTCGAGAGACTTCGCTAACCGGGTATAACTTCCCAAGTCGTAATAACGAAATATCCTATATCCCACCTAAATTTCTTAAACTGGTCGATCAGGAGATGATTAAGATAGGTCATGATGACGGAATAGAACCTCAAGTCAATGCTTTAAATAGCGGATTGTGGATTGCTTTCGGTCGTTGGTTAGGTGTCGAAGAACCAGTTACAAGAAGAGGTGTACGTCGGCATCTACGATCAAAATGGATGAAACTTAAACACGTCATACACGAGGAAGCCGAGTACCAAAATAATAAATCACAGAGTGATCTGAGTATAACCACGACGCATATTTCCCGGAAGGAGAAGGTCCAATTAATAATATCCGCACGGGGTAATACTCATTCTCTAAAAGGATTGGTGAGATTTCGATATATTGAAAGACCAAAATGCATTACCGACGTCGAAGGTAGAACCTTAATTCATCTGGGGATATTAGACAATCCAAATGCCGTATCAAAAGTCACCGAAGCTGTAAACCACTATTATTTTCACACTTTAAATAACCCTTCCCACCATAGTGAGGAATTTTGGACCAATTTCATCGAACATTTCGGTGTGTACGCGCGAAATAACCTCTTACCTTATACAAATTCCAACACCACAAGTGCCCACAACGTCGAGCATCAAGAATTGTCGATACGTTACTTCGTGATTTAGAACCGTTGTCAACTTCTATTAATGAATTTGTCCGAGAATATTATGGGGGAGTTATATGGGAAGTTAGAAAAGTTATCGTGGGGGGGGGGGTATTTGGGCCAAAACCATTCGGAGTCTTCCCGATGATCGCGATCAATTTCAATACTATAAGCGATTACCACTGGGATGAACACGACGAACTGAATTCTTTGTGTTGCTTAGTCGCTCTTGGTGATTTCGAAGGAGGCGAGTTATGTTTCCCCCAACTCCAGATTATCGTTCCACTTCGTCCAGGGCAGGTCGTTGCTTTTTCTTCTTCATGGAAATTTTCCAGTAACTCGAGGGATCCGGCACAGTATCGTTTATTTTGTTCATAGTATGTTCTTCCACCATCTGCGCGATTTTACTGATATTTACAAAGATCGTGAGGATAAGATTGAGAGGGATGCATGTGGATTAATCGTTTCTTCAACCCTCGACAAGACTTAAATGATGCTCATGAATTAAATCGCCAGGTTAAACTCGACAAGCCGAAAACCAATCAGATTCGAGTTCCACTGTCATCCACCGATTGTAGGAGAGGGCATATTGGTTAGTAATTTACTACGCGGTGTTGATATTTATCTTTTTTCATGTGGATATAGCAGAGTTTATTATAAATATAATTATAAAGAGATAAATTTAATATAGTTGGTTCTTGAAACAAGTGCGACTAACTATAACGTGATTTTTATATAATGAGAATAATTATAGAGGAAATTGGATTGTATTATTTGTTTTAATAAAGATATTTATTAAAAATTAAAAACACATATAAATTTTTATGCTAATAATATTAAGCTTGCATATTTGATCAATATTAAATTTTCTGATAATAAAATTTGTTAGAGTTTTAATGAAATAGTACTATGGGTCCCGGATTTATAGTAGTGGGGATTAAAAATATAACCTGAAAAATTTTATGACTCATTACTCCTAGCAAATGGATATCATATAAAAAATAGTATTATAAATAAGAGATGATTTATAATTTCTTTATATTTACCAAAATTACCAAAATATTTGAAATGATAAAGGATGTAATTAAGCATATAGAATTTCTATGATGCAATTATAAAAAGTGTAATTATAAGGAGTTAATTGTACATGTATAACGATAAGTTTACGTATAAGCTTTGATATAGTTTGATATTTGATGCTTTCATAGATTGCTGAAATCTTCATATATTAATCACATGTACGTAATTTGACTTGCAAAATGATTTACGTATGTAGTTTAGGTAATCCACCCATATCGATATCGATATGTCAGGTTTCAGCAAGCAACATTAATTCCTAACAATATAGTCAGAGCTCGATTTACTGATGAATCAATAATCAAATTTCAAGAAATGAGAGAATTCTAATAGACACCGCTAAATTGAGCGCGATTTCAATACAGTTAAGGATCTATATACGGGATAATAAAATTCTGCAGATATCGTTACGTATATCAAGAGAAAGTTTATTGTCAAAATCGATCGTTGATAGAAGGAAATCGATTAGAAGTGTGTTGTATAAGGCTTCGACTATACTGTATAGTGATCTGGAAACAAGAGTCGTTAACTCGCGATTTCATTAAATCACATAGTTGTTAAATCGAGCCCTGACTGTAGATACGTATAAAGAAAACTTATCTATTAAAAAATATTTTTGAAAGCACAAAATAGTTTTCAAGATTATCAACAAGTTTGTGAAACCGTTATTGAATCAGTAACGGTAAGATGAAATGGGTTTCTTTCAAAGAAAAAATGTTATCCAAGAGTTTCATAAGGAAAATCAATTATATATATAGAATCAAAATTATGTTCTCGAATCGATTTCCTTGAACACCACCATATCGATCGATATCCGTAATTTGAAATTCTTACTGCTGGTGAAACTACGTACACGGTTTTTGCTCACACAAGAGAATTTAAAATCGATCAATTTATTGAAATCCAGATAAACCGAAGTTGGTTATAAGAAATCCACCACCGAATTTTTTAAAAAATCTTTATTAATAGCCTAGCCCGACCACTTCGTTGTATTAAGGTCTCAATGAATTAATCAATTAATAACTTGATGTGATAGATACATACGTACGTATATTAATTACATGTATATGCATAGAAACATAAATTACATTTTCTTGATAACAATAAATGTAATCAATCTAATTTAACGTTACTTTTGTTGTTCTTGTGTTTCCTTGTACGTATTAGTATACAATTGAAAATTAAAAATTCGCAAATATTTACTCTTACGGTAAAGCTAAAATTTAGGTTATGTGTGAATCGCGTCAAACGTTTCGCTAAGAGAACCGAAATTGATTGGATTCTTGCCCACAACGTTAATAAAGACGTTCCTTTAAGGTCACTTCTTGTTTTATTACGTAGTTTGTAACACGTGTCATTATTTTATTGTAATTCTCTTAATCGTCACTGGAGCGTTGTTTCTTATTTTTAATATGGCTAACGTTAAACTATCGTATCGCTATCGCTATATTTATTTCACAATATGAATGAGAGATCGCATACTAAAAATACACGTATAGAATATCAATTGTGTGAAATGAATGTTTTGCCTGAGACTAAAACAAAATACATGTACACAGGCATTCTGTCGTTTCAAATGATATCGATATGCAAATGCACAATTCGATTAATTCATCTTGAATTTTTAAGGGGATGAATTCAAGCCCAAAAATAAATGTATCAACATAAACCATCAATAGTAATAAGAGAGAATGGAATGTTCTGCATAAAAAATTGACGGCCAAGGTACATACGCATGCAACCCCTTTCTGTAATAAGTATTGTCAAAAACATATTTTCAATTTAAAAATGTTAATAATAAACGATAATAATAATAATTATTAACATTAACGCCTTCTACAATAACAAACAATACACACACATTTAATTCATAAGCCACAAACTTATTACGAAAAAATATTAACAATCAAAAAAAAAATCAATATGGTATAAGAATAGCACTGATACATTTACAGGATTGAAAAAAATTATACAAAAAAAGAAATAAAAATTTCAAGGGAGAAAGAGGCGATTATTGTAAGAATGTATGAATAAATGATGCATAAGTATAGAATAGATAAATGCATAATATACTAAACCAGTAAAAATATTGAATGATGCAGATTTATTTATGCATGTATATGTACGTAATGAGAAATATATTTGTAGTTTTTATTTATTGAATGAATAAAAAAATCGAATGAATAAAAAAATTCAATTGTTCATTTTTTGTACTCTATGCGAGTGTGTGGGGAGATCAATGGAATTGAGTATTGGACGAATAAGAAAGAGTAAATGATACTCAACCATACATGTTATGTTCATCGAGTACGATGTTTTGATTGTTGAGAAATATAAACAGATCCACGATTAGAAACGTTCTCCATGGAAGTACGTCGACGAGGATTGATTGGAGTCGACGACGAACTGCTAGAGAAGCCAGCGTTCAAAGAATCACGGGATCTCATTCCTTGAGGATGCATCATTTGAACAGCAGAATTATTACTACTACTAGCATGATAACTACGATGACTGCCTGCACTACTTCCACTGCTATTCTCACGACGATGTCCTCGCCATATTTCACTTCCACTACTATCTGGACGTTGAAAACTTTTGTTGTGATTAGAAACGCGGTGATGAGATGAAGATGATTTCACTTGATCACCATGATGACGTTTTGGGAATACTTTATTAAGTGAAGAGCTGCTTCCATTACGATTTCCTGAATTAATCATATAGAATTCACCGGGTCCTTTTGGTGGAGGCGTAGTTGGACTCGGGTAACTATTATTTATTAGATTGGAAAGTGGTTGATAATCTTCACTCAATGCCAACAAAGTGTCTTTTGCCCATCCAGAATCTTGTCGAGTGGCTGACAATGGAATTGGGGCAAGTAATGGAGGACCATTATATAGACTTCTTGGTCTTGAACCAGAAAAGAGAGTAGTATTATCACTGTTACTTCTTCGTCGAGGTTTAGCAAAATGTGGAGATGGCGGGACTATTATTTTTTATTAACATCATCATCATCATAATTATTAATTAAAAATAAATTAGATGAAATAAATAAAAAATAAAAAAAGAAAAACTTACGTAGTTCATCATGAATTAATGCAGAATTTGGTCTTCGAGCGCTGATTCGTTCAACATTTGATTGTCGACGTCGATGACTATGTCGTTCGGTTTTTGCTGGTTCGACAGTCAACGCTTGTTTTGATACATCAGTAATCCACGCGGCAACATGAGTATTCTGGGGTGGTCGATGATTATCATTTGAAGGATGAAGTGTAATCTTAAGTGCTGGATTTTTCGAAAGTGGAATCTCATCATCAGAACTTTCGTCATCATCATCATCTTCCTCATCTTCTTCCTCTGTTTCTTCTGTTTCTTCTGTTTCCTCACCTGAATCTTCGATAACTTTATCAAGCTGTGGCCTTGGTGATGAAATTCCTTTCTTTATAATTTTTCCTATTGCTTCGTGATCAGATCCATCATTTTCTTCTTCCTCTTCTTGATCGTCATCATCATCATCATCTTCTTCTTCTTCAGAGGAAGAAGAATCCATTATAAACGATTTTCTTTGTGATGTTGATGATATTCCTTTAATGGGTGGTAATTGTAATAATGGTAGTTTTTGATCTTTTGATAAGGACGATTCGGCACTGTATTTTCGTTGATTATTATGATTTTTGTCAACATCAGAGGATTTTGATTCATCACTTTCTTGATCATCGTCATCATCATCACTTTGTGCATCAGAATCTATAGGTGGGATGTATTTTAATATCGATGGAGGTCTAGAAGTATTATAAGTTGAAGGTGGACGTGAAGTGGGGGTTCTTAGGGGATTAGGACTAGTGGGAGTTCTTAATGGATTAAGACTAGGGGAATTGCTATTAGTGTAGACTGATTGTGGTCTAGAGAGAGATTTTGTTGATATTTGTAAATTTGAAGAAGATCGACGTTCTCTCGGTGTATTATGACGAGTTGGACTTTGATGATTCTCCACCATCGAAGATGGTCTTGAAGAGTTCCGTGACGGAGGTGTAATATCGATTGTACCCGCCAGTTTTGACGTTCCATGTGGTTGTGATTTTGAAAGATTACTACTATTACTACTACTACGACTACTACTACTACTATTACTATGATGAGTAGTATAAATATTATTAGTTGTGGTGTTTGCTGATGATGAATAATTCGAGTCTAGAGCATAAAAGGAATTAATTAGTGACTGATAAAATCATGTGACCTTTTTGTGACACTGTGACATGGTGATACTGTGTGAATCTCATGTGTGATTCTGTATTAATCTAAATGCTCTAACCAATTATACATAAGTGATGCAAGCAATAAAATGGAGCATTATTGTTTAATCCGAATCTATTATTATCTTTGATATTCATACATCATCGCACTTGTAATGATTAATAATAAATGAAAACAATACTAACCACTTGAAAATGATCGTTGATGCATTAATTGCTTAGTTCGATGACTAGACGCGGGTGAAAACGGGATAGCCATATGTCTGCTCTCAATGATACTTCTTCGTACATCCATCAATGTTGAATGTCTATTGCCGGCAACCCCATGATCATTTAAATCACCTAAGATAGCGATACTATTCCTCGCATTAGTATTCACCGGTTGTGGTTTATGAAACGCTTGTGAAGAACGCTTATTTGGTGTTGAATTTCCATCGGGTTGGGTTAACGGCATCGGAATCATTAAACTTGTGGGTCTTGGAATATGAAAGTGATTTGGCACACTTAATGTTTCATCGCCCGTATTATTATTTTGTCTCGCCGGTCGTTGACGTGAAAAAATCGCACTTTTTTCTGGTGGTAACGCGTTTTCGTCTTCAAGATCTTCTTTCAAGGCTCGTGCAAGTTGTAGGCGTGAAAAGTTCAGCGAGTCCATTGTATTTGTTGTTATCGATGTCATTTTTCCTGTATATTCTGTTGTTCTGTTGTTGCAAGTTTCTGAAAAGTTCTTTACTGTTATTACTTATACACTGCACAAATTTTCAAAAAAAGCGTACAAGAAAAATTAGTGTTTGTGTGAGTGTATGATAGAAAAGCGAAAGATATGTGTGTGGAAAAAAGTAAGAAAGGAGGGAGTATTTAAAGAAATCGCCATAACAAAAGACGCAACACAAACACGCGCAGATACAGGGTAATACGTACTTGGTAATATTTATCTTATTATTATTATTATTATTATTATTAGTATTTTATTAAAGTGCATAAAAGTGTAAGTTTGTGTAAGTGTGTCTGTGGGCGGTAAACGAAAAGATATTTAGCTCGAGATTTTTTGGCTGTTCTTTTGACAGTATCGGTATTTGGTCTAACAGGATTTGATAAAAAATAACTCATAAAAATAAACAGCTCATTAAAAAAGAATAGTATCGGCATTCAATATACGTAAATTAATAAGGTGATGATGGATATGTACTGAATAAGTGAGTGAATGTGAGAAACGAGAGAAATGTCGCCGACGATGTTTATTTGTTCGGGAATTCTATTTTGAATGTCTATATTTAGTTGTTGTACAAAAACCACATACCGATACAGTAGTTGAATTTCCCTGTTTTCAAGTATTCAAAAACTCCCACTTTCATAAATTTTAATTAATGATATTGATATTCTATGATTATGTTCATTGTTGCATTATACGAAAAACAGGTACCCTAACTTAACACAGTAAGGTCAAATGTAAATATCACGTACATATTATATAATTTAAAATTAGAAATGATAATCCAATGGGATTTTTATTTAATGTTTTGTTATGAGACATATATGTGTTATTCATTTCTAATTTTAATTAACAAATAAACGAACGACTACTAATAATAACTTTTTCCATGAATTTGTTCTAGTGTTTGATTTTGATTCATATCGATATTATAATAATGGCTTGGTTAATTTTTTTTTCATTTGCACCGCAAATTTTTTCTTTTGTTGTTCTCGATGACATTCTATGACTTTAAATCGACCGACGCTAAAAATTTCCAATCCAATGTTAGAATAAAAACATTTTGTTTATTTTCGATATCGAGCCCAACTAACTATATTAAATTTAACCCATATTACTGTTAGCGTGAGGAAATCCCACGCGATCTAATTACTATCACTATGTTAATTATTTTTCTTGACGCTAGTCAGAAAGCGGCAATTCTAAAATTCAGTTAATCATCACACCTCTTATAATTTAAAATAACGAGACGGATGGGGATTAATTAATTGACGCAGGTAAAGACAACGAATAAATTTATGCTGTGCGATGTCATTGAAATGAATGAGATACTTTACTTGTACGTCATTGACCAAAAAAATCTTATCATCTCCGCAAAAAATAAGGACATTTAATTACGATCGGCAGCTAACGCTAATTCATGTAAAATGACGATGAAAAAAATGAATGGATGAATGAGACATATTAGCGTTGGAAATTAACACACATGTTCGTTACTAAAAGAAAAGAGGTTCTTTGAATTTAGCTAAATTCCTATTATTGAAAGAAATAAGACTAGAGGCAGAAATGAATCTCCCACCCCGAGGTGGGTGAACGGAATAAATTAATCTGTCAAATCCGACAAAATATGTCGATATTGAAGCTATTCAAAAAAAAAAAAAAAACATAGATCTATTACACAAATTGTTTTGGCTTGTATCCGTGAACTTCAAATATTCCACCACCACAAGAGGATTCATTGTAAGCGAATTTTAACCTAAAATGTATACACGTGTACAATCAATCACTAAAAGTCAAAATTCTGGATCAGTGTCGTATAACCGGTTTTTATTTTCTTAAGAAAGCTCTTTAAATTTTAAAGTTGTGTTATCAGATCAACGTGCAATTATGCGCGTTGATCGTCTGTGGGATTTGATATTTGATATTTGGAAACAAATCGAAAGACGGAAAAAAGCATGTGAATCATGAACATTCCGGATTTTCCAATAGGACAAATTCCTTTTGATCTCGAATTTGTCGATCTGAATAGAAATTGTGACGTGTTATGATAACATAGTGCATTTTTTTTTTATTGCAAAATTCAGGATTTTTCTGTGATTGTTTATCGTTATCTCACCACCATTGACGAATAGTTCAATGCTAACGAATGATGATTTAGATTTACACCATTATCGTTATAGCTGGTATGTATCAAGATATGACGCTCGATATTTAAATATGGAAAGTTTAAGCCTTAGAGTGTGTGTTTTTAGTGCATAAATAAACGCCAACTAATTAGCAGACCAGAACAATAACAATGTTAATATAACACAAAATACCCAAACACAAACACAAAAGGTACTAGAGTACAAAAAACCGAAATTTAAACATCCGTGTATGCAAGTTCAATCTTGATTTGATCTGCGGAAAGGAGTCGATCTATACTATTTTCAAGGTTCAATAAAATTACGCCAAAAAAGTTTGACATTATTATCGTTACCATTGTACATACATTGAAACGGTTATGATTATTTATGTCCGCCAATACATGTACATGTAAAAGGAGAAAGAATAAACTTCCGAATATAGTTAATTTTCTCGTTTAGAAATTAGATAAGATGACAAACTGGCGAATTTGGTTCTCTGAACATAACTGTTACCATATTTTTCGTTTTGACATGTTCTTGCGAAATTTTTTTGATGTATACATCTTGGGTGTAATGCGATTTCTTAACGTATTTGTAGTGATCACCGGCGCAGATTTCAATCTTTGGAAAAAAACAGCAAAAAGGTTCAATCTATTGATTCGGAATCGACGATGAGCTGATCAACAGATTAACAGTTTAGCATGAATTAAAGCATGAGTTATTCCCATTACCGTTACCGTTACGTATCCGATATACGTAAACTGTTTGTATGATGGTAAGGAAGAAATGATATCGATATGATTTTTTAAAACCATGGATATTCAGATTTTGATGATTTTTTTTAATAGAATTTAAATCTAAAATAATTGCCAATGCATCAAAATCACAATTAGAGAAAAAAAATCTTAGAGAAAGAAACTCGATATACATTTCGAAAACTATTTCCTTGCAAATTATGGTTCTTTCGCAAGGAAACACAGTTAATACAAAAATAAATGTTAGCATGGGAGAATTTCACGTATCCAAAACCATTTCATGTGAACCTCTGTTTTTTTGGTCTTACAGCCTCGTTAACTATATCATCGTTTTCACTAACTACCTTAATTGTATGTTTCAGGTTTTGGTATTCTCTCACGTTTATGCAAGCTTTTATCGTGACATCACCGACCGTTTTACTCTCCCACAATTCACGAATTTCCTCGGAGATTTTAAAATAGGGCTCCGAAAAAACCGAGTTTGGAATTGGCTTTAATTTGACTCTTTTCTAGAAGTCAGAAAGTCATATTTCTAACTCGGCCTTGTATTGGCTTTGTTCGCAGAATTTAGAGTTGCTCAAATCAAAGATAAAAAACATAGAATAGTCGTGAATTTTTATTCTAATAAAGATGATAGAATTTTACTAAAAACAATTAGAATTCGAGGAATTATTTTATTATGCAATACTTGTGGAGTCAAGAGCCAAGTCACATCTCTGACTCTGGTTCGTAATGATTCGGCTATAAAACCCGACTCTGGCTCTACTTTTACGAGTATATATACGAACTGGCTCGAGCTGCTTCAGCCCTTTCGGAGCCCTGTTTTAAATTACATTCAGAGGGCAAGTATTATGCTTTGGATAATTTAGCAGAGCCAGACTTGCCAGACTTTCTGGAGGAAAGTGTGTCACTCGCACGTCCAACCTCATTGCGGATATCTCTAATATTGTTATGAAGTTTTTACGTATGATTTTTTGTGCTGCAATATTTGTGGTTCGATTTTTCTGGGATAGTAGGCGGCCAAGCCGGGGTCAATATCTGTTTGACTACGGATTGGGAAAAATTCCGAAGTGTGACTTTGTCCGAACTCGGTCGACAAAATTTCGGTGTTAAAAAATTTGTGATAAGTACATGTAGTTAGAATTTATGTATCTACAATAAAAATTACGATCAGTGCTAGAATTGACGAGTCAAGTTTCGAAGAAAAATCGCACGCCTCGCTTTTATTAATAAAAATAGGAATACAAAAATGAATAAAATGCTGTCGAATACATTTGAGAATTTACGGGACTATATTCACGTAAATATTAGTTATATATGAACTCGACATTTATTAATACTAAAATTACGCACACGATGTTAAAAATTAGTCAACAGACAAACTTTTTTTCCACTCTCTAGATATAACAGATATCTTTGTAATTACTACTATATTGCATAAAATTGATAAGGTCTACGAATTTGGTTACAATACTCTCATCCGAGGAATCTACCGATTTCAAATGATAATAACGATGCGTTAGCCATGTCCCTGAACATTCAAGTGAAGCATACATCCTAGGAAAAGTAGGTTTGCTCTCATATTAATAAGGTGGTAGACAAGCAGAACTCGTGCTTGAAACAAAAGACCGCTCCAACAACGCCAACCCTATGAAAAATCGCGGGAACTCATCAAAAATATTATGGAATGACTTGGGAATTAGCGCAATTTCAAGAATTTCGTATATATTTTGTTCCGGCAGGTTCATGAGCAGTTCTTGGAATTCCCTAGTCGTTCTAGGAAATTCCATAGGATCGAGCTGAAAAAATGAAGTTTTTCTTTGCGAACACACAATAACTCACAACTTTCGAGAACTTCCTGGTAGAGTTTGGAACTGGATTTATTTTTAAATCTTAATTTATTTAATCATTAAAATTCCGAACTGGCTTTAATTCGGTTTTATTATGTCCAGTTTTTTCGGTTTAACCGGTTTTTATTATACCCTGTTTTATTGGTTTTATTATATCCGGTTCCTTCGGTTGAACCTGACATACTTGGATAATTACTGTAGATGCTTTCAACTAGAGTTGCAAACATCTTTATGGT